AACTACAGCAGTCATCTCAAAACAAGATCTCACGACAGGGAAATTCCCCGAGGCCACCAGCTCAAGGTCGAGTTTATGCAGTCACACAGGAGTAAGCTGAAGCCTCCAAGACAGTTATATCAGGTATCATCTCTGTGTGCAACAAGAATGCTTATACATTATTTGATACGGGTGCCACGCATTCATTCATATTTGCACGATTCATGAAATTGATTGGATTAAGTCCTAGACCACTCGAAATATCCCTTTGTGTTTCCGCACCGCTAAGAGATACAATTATGTCCACATTGATATGTAAAGACTGTAAGATCACTATAAGTGGATATGATCAAATAGTAGATTTGATCATATTGACTATGTACGACTTCGATGTTATTCTAGGGATGGATTGGCTTCATAAGCAACGAGCCAACGTGGACTTCTATCGGAAGATAATCCAATTTAATCCCCTTAATTGTCCTAGTTTCAAATTCTTTTGAAATGGAGCAAATCCTTCAATGCCGCTTATCTCTACGCTCGAGTCACATCGTCTTCTTGACAATGGTTGTCAAGGATATTTGGTGTTTGTAGGGGATCAGTCAAGGGAAGAAATGAAACTTGAAGAAATCCCCGTAGTTCAAGAATTTCCTGACATATTCCCGGAAGAATTACCAGGGTTACCACCAGAGCGTGAAATCGAATTTGTCATCGAATTAGCTCCGGGAACAGATCCTATTTCCAAAGCTCCTTATCGGATGGTATTAGCGGAGCTAATGGAATTAAAAGTGCAGCTACTAGAATTACTTGACAAAGGTTTTATTCGACCTAGTGCATCACCTTGGGGTGCACCGGTATTGTTTGTAAAGAAGAAAGATGGGTCAATGCGCCCTTGCATTGATTATCGGCAACTAAACCAAGTCACGATCAAGAATAAGTATCCGCTTCCGAGGATCAATGACTTATTTGATCAGCTGCAAGGGGCATCGGTATTCTCCAGGATTGATTTAAGGTCACGGTATCATCAATTGCGGATTAAGGAGGAAGATATTCCTAAGACGGCTTTTCGAACTCAATATGGACATTACGAGTTCTTAGTTATGCCTTTTGGTTTAACTAATGCACCGGCCGCATTCATGGATTTAATGAATAGAGTATTTAAGCCATTTTTGGATCAATTCGTAATAGTGTTCATCGATGATATTCTTATATACTCAAAGGAATGAGAGGAGCATGAGCAATATTTGAGACTTGTGCTTCAAACACTTCGCGTACACAAGTTATATGCGAAAGTTAGCAAGTGTGAATTCTGGTTGAATCGTGTGGTATTTCTGGGTCATGTAGTAACCGGTGAAGGATTATCGGTGGACCCATCGAAGGTTGAGTTGGTAATAAATTGGCCAAGACCGACAACAATAACAGAGATTCGAAGTTTCTTGGGTCTAACCGAATATTATCGAAGATTTGTCGAAGGATTTTCTCGCCTTGCGGCTCCATTGACTAAAATTGACAAGGAAGGAAGTGAAGCTTGAATGGTCAGAAGAATGTGCACAAAGTTTTCAAGAACTTAAAAGAAGATTGATTACGGCTCCAATATTGACGATACCGGCAGGATCCGGAGGTTTCGTAATTTATAGTGACGCATCTTATAAGGGGCTTGGTTGTGTTTTGATGCAACATGGAAGAGTAGTTGCCTATGCATCAAGACAGTTGAAACCATATGAGTTAAATTATCCGACCCATGACTTAGAACTTGCTGCAATTGTATTCGCTTTGAAGATATGGAGACATTATTTATATGGGGAAAAGTTCGAAATTTATACAGACCACAAGAGTCTGAAATACCTATTCTCCCAAAAAGAATTGAATATGAGATAAATACGTTGGATAGAGTTGTTAAAGGATTATGATTGCGAAATTTTATATCATCCCGGAAAGGCGAATAAAGTCGCGGATGCTCTTAGCCGAAAGTCTACCCAAATGGTTGCCCAGATGATGGTTAAGGAATGGACCTTGCTTGAAGCGGCTCGAGATTCTGAATTTAGATTTGATATGAGTAGTCTTTCAAATGTGATAGCTACTCTTAGAATTGAACCTGAGATTGTGCAAAGAATCAAGATCCTACAACAAACAGATCTTGAGATTTCAAAAGTCAGGGAGGAGACTTTAGAAGGAAAAAGGCTAGACTTTCAGGTATCAGAAGATGGAGTTCTAAAATTTCATGGACGACTTTGTGTGCCTAATGACATTGATTTAACGAATGAAATTTTGTCAGAAGCACATCGAAGTAATTACAGTGTGCATCCAGGAAGCACGAAATGTATCAAAACCTCCGTCCACATTTTTGGTGGAATGGAATGAAGATGGATATTGCCAAACATGTCTCGAGATGTTTGACATGCCAACAAGTGAAAGCAGAACATCGTAAGCCGGGTGGAATGTTGAAACTGTTAGAAATACCTGAGTGGAAATGGGAGCATGTGACGATGGACTTTGTTCAAGGATTGCCAAGGACATCGAAAGGCCACAATTCCATCTGGGTGATAGTGGATCGTCTGACGAAGTCTACTCATTTCCTTGTGGTGCGAGTAGACTATACATTGGAAAATATGCGGAGTTGTATGTCCAACAAATAGTTCGACTGCATGGAGTACCTGTAACTATCACGTCAGATCGAGACCCAAGGTTCACTGCGAACTTTTGGCGAAGTCTCCAAACTGCATTGTGAACTAAACTCCAATATAGTACTGCTTTTCATCCCCAAACTGATGGTCAATCAGAACGAACTATCTAGACGTTGGAAGATATGCTACGAGCTTGTATAATTGACTTTAAAGGAAGTTGGAATGAACATTTGCATTTGGTGGAGTTCGCTTACAATAATAGTTTTTAGCAAAGTATCGGCATGGCTCCTTTTGAAGCATTGTATGGGAGAGCCTGCAGAACTCCTATATGTTGGAGTGAAGTTGGCGAAAGGAAATTAACGGGACCGGAATTAGTACGAATCACTTCAGATGCTGTAAAAGTGATTCGGGATCGACTTAAAACTGCTCAAAGTCGACAAAAGAGTTATGCGGATAAACATAGAAGACCATTGGAATTCAATGTTGGTGACCATTTATTCTTAAAGGTGTCACCGATGAAAGGTGTATCACGATTTGGAAAGAAGGGCGAACTGAGTCCAAGGTTTATAGGGCCTTTTGAAATTCTTGAGAAGATTGGTGACTTGGCCTATAGATTGACATTGCCACCCAGACTTTCCAATATTCACGATGTTTTTCATGTGTCTATGTTGAGGAAATATGAATCGGACCCTACTCATGTATTGGATTTTGAGACGATCGAGGTAGACGAAAGAATAACCTATTCGGAGAAACCAGTACGGATCATGGATAGAAGGGAACAAGTTCTGAGAAATAAGACCATCCCGTTGGTCAAGGTCTTGTGGCAATATCATGACATGAAAGAAGCAACGTGGGAGAGCGAAGAGGATATGCGAAGCAAATATCCACATCTTTTTGAATGATCAGGTAATTCTGAATTTCGAGGACGAAATTTCTTAAGGGGGGAAGAGTTGTGACATCCGGAAATTTCGTAATAATATGTTTGTGACGTTAGAAATTTTCTATGTTTGAAAATGATACTTAGATTTAAAGCTAAGTATTGTTTTCGAGTTAGTATTCGTGCGGACGCGTAGGAATTTTCGTTGAATCGTATTTCGCGAAGCGCGGATTCAGAAACGTAATCGTATCGAGTCCGACGTGTTTAATATTTAGACGTTGTCGTGTGCGTTAATCGTAGTGCAGTGTTAATTAAATTACCGTTGTCTTGATAACTAGTGGGTATTATTATTATTATTGATTAATCTTGGTTAAGTGATGTTATTGCCGTTAAGGAAAAGGGGGAAGATATCTTCTAAAAAATATCCCTCTGGACTCTTCTTCTCTCACGTGGCTATTGAAGGAAAAGTTAACCGAATGCCATTTGTCCCCTTGGGCTAGACACCTAAGCCTTGGGTAATCATTTTCCTTGGCCAATACTCCTACGATTAAGCCACTGATTTCTTCCACCTGGCCATGATGAAGAGATAAGATGCCACCTGTGAATACAATGAATTTACCCACCCCTTCGTATACTTCTCAGTTTTCATCTTCGACTGGGTAATTACCGAAGATAATTTCACCCAAACTGACACTCTCTCCTTTACTTTCTACTCTCACCATCACCGATCCAAAAATCTGTGGAAGAGTTTTAACCTTTGGGGTGTTCAGATTCTATGCAAGGTAAGTGAAAACTCTAGGTTTATGCTAAGTAAATCTACTTGGCACTTGTAACTTGGTTGCTTGAGAAAGGTTATTTTGATGTACGATAGTGAGGTTGTGATGATAGTTGAATCTGTTTTGCTGGTTCTGTGCACGTTCAAATGGATGTGATTTGTTTCCTTAAAGCATGGTGATAATCGGCAAGCGAAACGATTAAATCTGATCGTGTAAGTATTATCTTTGAGGTGATTGTTGGACTCTTCTTATTGGTTTATGTATGTTTAAACAGAATAGAAAATCGTTTTACTTAAAGTGATGATTATGTTTATTTTTGATACTCAAAGTGATGATTATGCTTATTTCTGATACTCAAAGTGTTGATTTTGTTTATTTTCGAAACTGGGCAGATTTTAATCTCAAAATCTGGTTCTGTATACTTTTTTAAACTGTTCGGACTTTACTTTCAGACCTTACGTTCAGACTTTACCTTCATACTTTACCACTCAGACTTTACTTCAGAGTTTACCGCTCAGACTTTACTGCTCAGACTTTACCGTTCGAACTTTACCTTCAGACTTTAGCCTTGTGAGTCTGAACTTGCTTCTGAGTCTGAACCCGCTTCTGAGTCTGAATTCGCTTCTGAGTCTGAACCCGCTTCTGAGTCTGAACTCGCTTCTGAGTTTGAACCCGCTTCTGAGTCTCAACTTCCTTTTGATGACTCGAATTTGCTTCTAAACCCGAACTTGCTTTTTTAAACTGTTCAGGTCTTTTCTACATTCATGATAATGAAACCGAACTTCCTAAAAGTCACAAGATTCGACGGTTCGTGGAGTATTTGGAAAGTGAAAAGATTTTGGACGATTCCATTGATGAAAACCTACGTTCTTTTGTGTCTTTCAACAACAAACTCAGGGGTAAGGCCAACAGAGGAATTGGTATTTTTTTCAAATCCTTGGTCCATAAAACGGGGTTTGTATTGCTAAAGGTCCTTGATCTAGAGGGTGTCTATAAACCTATGCTTTTTGAGATAGTGGGCAATTTACTTCTTTTAAGGTTTCTAGGCTTGCGATTGACAGTACTAGATTCAATCCCCTCGGCTGTCGGAAAGCTGCCGTGCCTAGAAACTCTAGATCTGAAGCACACTAACGTGACCACCCTACCCAACTCGATTTGGAAGGCGAAGAACCTTAGGCATCTGTACATGAACGAGGTTCACATTGACGCATTCCTCCAGAAGCTGAGTAAAGGTTCTTTAAGCAATCTTCAGACACTGAGGGGGCTGTATGTCGGTAACGAAAGTGTTGTGACCAACAGTTTGGATAGACTGGTTAACGTCCGGAAATTGGGACTGACATGTCACAAGAAGTCAGTGAAGGCTGTGGTAAAATGGGTTCTGCTACTGCCTAATCTTCATTCTCTGAAGTTGAGGTCAATTGATGAGTTTGGTAAGCCGTTGAACATTGAATTAGTGTCCCTGGAGAAACAGACCAAGCTCTGCAACTTATACTTGCTCGGGGAACTAGTGGAGCAAGTAAACCTGGCACTAGTAAAGCAAGTAAACCTGAGCGGGGTACTCCCATCGTGCCTCAAGAAACTTACATTGTCAATGTCGGCACTGACGGAAGATCCTATGCCAGTGCTGAGCAAGTTGCCTGAGCTAAGCATCCTCAGACTCTTTGCTCATTCGTATTTAGGACATCAAATGACTTGCGATGGTGAGGGATTTCTGAAACTCAGGGTATTGAAGCTGTGGATGCTCAACCAACTGAGGAGCTGGACAGTGAAGAAGGGAACGATGCCTATCTTACAAGAACTAGAAATCAGAGGGTGTGATGCATTGACGAATATTGATGGAATCGAGCACTTGCAAGGCTTGAAGGAACTTACTCTGACTGATATGCGAGAGGATTTCATAAAAATAATCAAAAGAGGTGTAGGAAGTGAAATGTACACCAAAGTAAATGAGTGGAAGCTTTCTCGTCATCAGGTAGGTCTTTATTGCCCTCATGTTCAATTCTGTCTGTATGTTATGCTTTCATACTCAGATTCATGTCAGTGATTTATCTGGTTGAACGGTTGAACCGCAATGAAAGTTGATGGTGATTGTCGTGACCTAAAATTCCTCAGGCTAATGGATTATTAAGACTAAGCCTAACTCGGGCCCTCCCAAGCCCTACCAATTCGCAACTTAGGGTTTAAGTTTTTAACATGCAAAAGTTTTCATGCTTGGAGTCGCCACTAATCTATTTGTGGTAGGTCGATTAGAAACCTAAATAAAACATAGGGAGATATGTTTTATTCCTACGAACCAGAGATTCTAAGCTCGGGGACTTGGTTACGCTAGATCTAGTCTAACGCCCTTTCGGTACCTTTTCTTTTCAAAAATGTTTATGCATGCAGTCTGGATCCATTTTAACTTAGTCACTAGCATGTGAGGTGATCATGCGGGTGCGCAAACCACCAAAGTAACACCCAATAATCAAAGGATTAAATAAATTGCAAGTTTGGAAGAATTACTTACTTGGAAGCAACGTAAGCATCTGCATTGTTAGCTAGAAAATCACATTGACACCCTAATATGATTTCTAATTAACAAGCAATTCACTCAATATTTTTTAGGATTTTCACTTATTTAAATGAAAACTAACCTATATGTAATGATGTGCAAAAATTAACATGCGATTAATGCAGCCTAACATGCAAACTGTATGTCATGCGACGACGTGACCTAATTCTAATGACGGACAAATGATTTATTTTTGATATTTTCAAATGAAATTCGGAATTAAAAAAAATGCCTAAATTAACATGCAATCTATTCTAAAAAAAAAATAATTTAATCTATCCTAAAGTGGCTTCTGTCGCGACCTAAAATTTCTCTCAGGCTAATGGATTGTTAAGGCTAAGCCTAACTCGGGCCCTCCCAAGTCCTACCAATTCGCAACTTAGAGTTTAAGTTTTTAACATGCAAAAGTTTTTGTGCTCGGAGTCGCCACTAATCTATTTATGGTAGGTCGATTAGAAACCTAAATAAAACATAGGGAGATATGTTTTATTCCTACGAACCAGAGATTCTAAGCCCAGGGACTTGATTACGCTAGATCGGTCTAACACCCTTTCGGTATCTTTTCTTTTCAAAAATGTTTTGACAGAGCTTTGGATCCATTTCAACTTAGTTACTAACATGTGAGGTGTTCATGCGAGTGCGCAAACCACCAATTTAACACCCAGAAAGCATTAAATAAATTGCAAGTTTGGAAGAATTACTTACCTGGAAGCAACGTAAGCATCTGCATTGTTAGCTAGAAAATCACATTGACACTCTAATATGATTTCTAATTAACAAGCAATTCACTCAATTTCTTTTTTTGGATTTTCACTTATTTAAATGAAATCTAGCCTATATGCAATGACATGCGAAAATGACATGCGATTAATGCAACCTAGCATGCAAACTATATGTCGTGCGACGACGTGACCTATTTCTAATGACAGGACGAATGATTATTTTTGGTATTTTCTCAATTTAAATTCGGAATAATAAAAATGCCTAAATTAACATGCAAACTATGATGACTTAATCTACCCTAGCATGATTTCTTTTTAGGATTTTTTGTTAAAATTCGAAATAATGAATTACTTAAATTAAGAATACAATCTATCCTAATCTATCCTAAAACAATTCATTCTTCTTTTCTTGGGATTTTCATGGAAATTCGAAATAATAAAATAACTTGAATAATCTATTAAGATTAGAATATTACTTAATTTAAACTAGGAAATGAATCATCTCAAGTCCTAATTTAAATTAAATAACTACTCTATCTTCTAGATATATTTAGGATTCCTAGACATGCAAAAACTCTAATTCAAATCTAATTAATATTTTTTTTTGAATTTTCTGTTTATTTGAAAAAGGAAAGCAATTAAATAAACAAGGATAGCAACCACATTCAAAACGTCCACGGGATCCGCCATATTTGTTTCAAACTCGGATTAGGCACAAAAATCAAACTATCGGTCATATCTATAGGGTTATAGATATCGACGGAAAGCCGATTATTCAAATTTGGAAAGCGGATAAAAATCATTATCGTACCCAAGTGGTTATGGATAGGATAATGATTTTCCGTATCGCCGCGTATCGAACCTTAGGGATAAGGTCGGATAGTCGTCCAGATACGTTGCTAAATTAGGAAGTTTTCCTAATTTTGAATATTTAAAAATATTGCGGATATATCGAACATTATCCTAAGATTTCTAAATATCCACATGCTATTCACGAAATATTCAAACACCCGAAAGATTAGGAAATTGAATATTCTAAGACTGTAGATGAGAATCTTACCTAATTTGTGGATATTTCCAATTCGAACTTGGATCGGACTCGGGCTTGCGGATTGGGACGGTGACCGACGGCCGATGGCCGACGGCGGCACAGGGGCAGCTCGGCTAGGCGCTGGGCTCACGGACGACGGTAGCAACGACGATGTCGATTTGGGGGCGTAACCGCTGGAGTTGTCGTGGACGTTGCTGTAGTCGGCGAGGCTTGCGGCTCGGCAAGGCTCACGGCGGTATCTTGGAATTGGACTCCTTGACTTTAGTGGTCAGCAAAGCAAAGGAGTGGTGGAACGTGGATAACCTGCAAGAAAGAAAAAAAAAACAATCTTTTTCTGCCGTCTTTTATTGCTCCTTTATGCCCCTCCCTGTCTTCGTATCTTGCATGGACTAATGGCCGGACTACATGCCAAAGGAACTTCAAGGACGCTTGTGGAATTTTGGGCACGTTGCAACAAAACAAGCACACCATGAGGAACATAGGGATTGGACTGGAAACTCGTTGGCTTGACTAGTGCAGGTCTGGACTGGAGACTTGACGACAAAGAAGAGTCCAGCTACAGCGGCACGGGACCGTCAAGGGCAGCGGCTCAACTACTTCGTCGATGGCATCAAAGGATCCCAGTCTCGGGGGCAGCAGATCCTGTGGAGCTTCGCGGCTTCGTCGTCGATGAGAAGGCGCTGAGTTGGGTCACTGTTTTATGGCAGCAGCAGCGGCAGGGATCGTCGTTGAGCCACGGCGGCAGCAAGCTACTCACAGCCACAGGTATGGCTGTGAGCGGGCGGCGCGGACGCGAGCACGAGGCAGCGTGGCGATGAGGCGGCGCTTTCTCACTCTTGCTCTTTAGTTTCGCTATTTCCTCACGTGTATCTCGTGCTCTCTCTGAAGTTTTCAGATCTTGAAATATATGAGAGCTCTCCCCCCTTGAGTGGGGGTATAATCACATATTTATATCGCAACCCTAGGTTAATTGGCCGGGCTTCCTAGTCCTAATGGGCTTTGGTTTAGGCTTTATCCTTTAATTTTTATTTAATTCCAAATTGACTGAATTAATTTGGGCTTTTCTTTAATTAAGCTTAATGGGCTGATTTAAACTCAAATTAAGACAATCAAGGCCTTTTAGACTTGTGATTTTCGGCCCCCGTCTTCTGAGTGAGCCGAGTTTCGTTCAGTGCTCGAGCTCGGTTTGCGCGATGGATTTTCAGTTCACTTGCCACCGCCGGTTCAATGTGGAATGCAGTTAATCTATATGAACCTAAACTATATGTTTATGCAATTTAAATAATTTTGTTTAGGGGTTAAAAATTTAATCCCTAATTTTCTATGCAAATTACACTAAATGATACGCCAAAATTTAGGTGTCAACAGCTTCTTTTTGGTATTTTTATGAAAATTCGAAATCAAGAATTACCCTAAAATGAACCGTCGATATCAGGATAATATGTAAATTAAACTAATTCCTAATTTAAATTAAAAAGTTATCCTATCGACTTATTCAAATAAAGTTATTCTAAACCTATCCTAAACATGCATCATTATCTTCTAATAAGATCAATTCAAACCCTAACTAATCTTTTTTTGGAATTTTCTTTATTTAAAAGGAAAGCAAACCACATTCAAACAATCCACGCAATCCGCAAGATTCTTCAAATTCAGACAAGGCAAACAAATCAAACTAACGGTCATATCTATAGGGTTATAGATATCGACAGAAAGTTGATTGTTTAAATTTGGAAAGCAAATTAAATCTATTATCGTATCCAAGTGATTATGGATAAGATAACGATTTTTCATATCACCGCGTATCGTACCTTATGGATAATGTCAGATAATCGTCCAGATACGTTGCTAAATTAGGAAATTATCCTAATTTGGGGTGTTTTGAAATATCACGGATATCGCATGCATCATCCTAAAATATCTAACAATCCACAAAAATCACGCAATATTTAAACACGTAAAATTAGGAATCCAAATATTTTAAAAAAAAATTTAGATAAGAACCTTACCTAATTTCACGGATTACTTTCCAAGTTTGAATCGTCTCGGGATCGCGGATCGGGACGGTGGCCGACGGTTTCGCGACTGGGGCTCGATGGTGTGGTCATGGGCTCCTCGGTGTGATTTGCGCGGAGCTGCTACTTCATGGCTTCGTCATCAAAGGGAATCACAATAACCGACAAGAAAATTTATCGGACTTCCCGGCAAGACCAAAGAAACCTGCAGATAACTCAAATTGGATCCAACGAATTCTGTTGACTTCGTTGGACCCACTAAGCAAGGAAGCAAGACCAAGTGGACGTCACAGAGGCATGATGGTGGCAGCAAAGATTCACTAGACCCGATACTAAATTGGCGAGCACACTGGAAATTCAACGGCAGGGAATCTATTGGACTTGACTAGGACTCGAGTGCTGGAACTGGCTGGAGCGTGCTGTGACCAGCGCAAGTCAAGGCCGAGAAACTTTGCCGTTCGTTGGATTCAGCGAACGTCCTGGATGAGCAGCTCTCGGTGGCAGGTGCAGCGTTGGTTCAGGTTGACGATGAGCACTAGTTCTGCTGGGCTGCTGTGCTGAACGTCGGAGAGGATGGGCTCGCCGAGAATCTGCAGAAAATTGTTTGGAATTACTGGAAACCGCTCGCGCTTACTGGCTAGTATCTCTGGGCGCTCGCTGACTGTTGGAGCAGCGTCTGAGGCGTGAAGGGCTGAGGCAGGGACAACTTCGGATGTTGGAAGCGTGGTGGTGCAGAGTGGCCAGCAGCAAAGGGGCTCACAGCAATAGTGATGAGCAGTTCGGCAAGGGTATCACTGAGTTGGACTTCACTTGGACGTAGTATATTGACTCCGTCAACAAAAGCCAACCTTGGCTGAACCTGCAAAATCAGAGAAGATCGAGCCAAACATAGAAATTCAGATCTCGGTTGAGTTCACGGCAAGGACAGCATCAAGTGAGAGCGAAGCAGCTCGTGGGCGGCGGCTCCTCGTCGTTGTCGGAGGTGGGCACAGCAGCAGCAACTTCTTCACGGACTGCTGCCGACTTACTTAAGTGACGCAGCGATGAGCGGAGGAACAGCCACGAGGAGGCACGAAAGCAGCAAGAAATAGAGTCTGGTCGTGAAGCTCTCGGTCGTGATCGTGTAGACACACGCCCAAGGAAGACGACGACTCTTCTCTCTCTATGAACTTTCTTGTTTTCTCTCTATGTTTCTTGTGTGTGATCAGAACCCAAAAGAAAGCCTGACCTAATGATGTATATATAACGCTAATCTAGGTCAATTAGATGGGCTCTCTAGTCCTAATGGGCTTAGGTTTGGGCTTAGGTTTAATTTAATTTAAATGGGCTAATTTATCTTGGGCTTTTATTTAATTAAGCATAATGGGCTGAATTAAACTCAAATTAAAACAACCGAGCCCGTTTGACTTGTAATTCCCGGCCCTTGCATTCCAAGCGAGCCGAGTCCTATTCGATGAAATTTAAGCTCGTTCGTCACCGCGGGTCCAATGCAAAATGCAATTAATCTAAAATGAATTTAAACTATATGTTATGCAACCTAAATATTTTTGTTTAGGGGTTAAAAATTTAATCCCTAATTTTCTATACAAATTACGACTAAATGGTCGCTAAAATTTAGGTGTCAACAGCTGCCCCTCTTTGAAGGTGAGCTCGCAGAGATTACATTCAAAGACTAAATGATACCTAAATTTCAACCATGCAAATGCAATGAATGTTGTTTTTGTCGGGATTATGAGTCCCATTTTAAAATGCATTAAGAAATGATGTATGCTAACATGAGTGGAAAACATACCTGGAATTACTTACCTGACAGGAGTGAGATAGCGCAATTCGAGGCACGACTCGGACTTTGTATGTTGTTTGGCAAATGTCTGGGGCTCATTTCCATAGGTATTGCCCGATATACGTTGATGAACCGGTGATGCGGTTAAGTCAAAACACACGAAGAAAGCTCGACGTATCCAATCATCATCCTGGATTCGTGAGAACAGTTCCGATCTTTACCAACTACCTATACATCTCCATAGGTGTTTGCAAAGATTTGGCCGCTTCACTTATACCTGCTCATAAGTGAATTGCGGGGAGAACTTTTGAAGTCAAGAGGATATTCCGACCTTTACATATACCTGCTCATATGCAAAGATTTGGCCGCCTCACTTATACCTGCTCATAAGCGAGTAGCGGGGGAACACCTGGGGTTGAAAGAATATTCCGACATTTACATATACCTGCTCATATGCAAGGATTTGGCCACTTCACCTATACCTGCTCATAGGTGAGTAACGGGGGAATCTTCTCGAGATTGTATGAAAATCTGTGATTTGGTGAACAAAGGGGCTAGCCCAAGTGTTCAAGGGTTCCTTGACAAAGTACCTGGATATCATCAGAGGTACCTGAAAAAGCTTGATCAATAGACACCTAAACATCATCAAAGGCATCTAGAGATCGCAAAAATGATCAAATGTGGGTCCTGACGATTGCTCGAACAGGTCAGGGACACCTAGATAGTCATAGACATCCTAGGGATAGAGATATACGTACCTGGCGATATCTCCAACTCTGAAGGTGTGTCTCCTGTTAGACACGGATTTAAGTAACATGTAATATGCATTCGCACACTGTCAAGAACACATATACACATGCACTATGATTTTCAACTGATTTTCATGCACGATGGTTTTGTCAAATCGGTATTACAAACTCGCTGGGGAACAATCATGACAAGACAATCCGAACTTACAAGTGGGTGTCTTGAAAATGCCGAATGAGGGACTTCCGATCTAAAAGGGCTTTCTCTCATTCTCATTGAAAAAGGCTGATTTATGAGAATCACTCCATCTCACCTTCATCATGTGGACAAGGGTCCGAGTATTCTCGCAAGCGGTACGACCTTACCAATCTGAGAGGTCTTTGTCAGGACCGTAACATGGGCTTGGTCAATGGCTTAGCAAAAGGAGACTCTTTGAGTCAAGGCTATTGAAAGAACATACTCCGCAATCGTCTCCGGGTTTATAAGTCAAGAACCCTGCAAAACGAGATAGAAATAGACTTGCTAGCACTTCTTCGAGCTAAACTTATAAACATCTTAATCCTTCGTTAGTTCAAGTGCCCTAATCTGAAGAGACTTTACAAGGGACGTAACGTAGGCTAGGCTCATGGGTTGAGAAATGAATAGATCATTAGGCTCAAAATGTGTATAATTGGGGTGAATAAGTTGGTGATCATCTTGGCATTGTCACCGGTCTTCTTCTTCACCAGGGACTGTCTCCTCGATAGATGCTCCATTGGCCTCGAGAGCTTATCACTTGACTTCTTAAGACTGTGGATAACCTTGACACATCTTAACATTTTCTATTCCGAAGTTCTCTTCTTTTTCTTCATTTTTTTTCACGAGCATTGGCCTTGCTTTTACCAGGCACACTGCTTTTTCATGGCCGCTAGTTTTTCTTTTTTTTTTTTTTTTTTTTTACTTTTGACACACACTGTCTACGATGCATATATTGGTCAGCCACCCTTTGGCTTGTTTTGACCGAATGATTAACATTTGGACTTTCAGGGTCTTCGTCTTCTATCGGCGCTCCGGATATGCTGCGTGGACAGTGATGGCTTTTACCTTGCCCCAGTGTGGGGGATGATCACCAACTGGGTTTAAGAAACGAATTTACAGGCTCAATTGGGCTTAGCAAAGGATAAAGTGTGTATAGGATAGAGAAAGAAATGCTCTTCATCATCCTAAGGCACTTGAATTTCGTGTGAATTCATCTGAAAAAAGCAACACTCGAAGATTGATGCAAGTGAGAGCAAGAAAATTTCTACTCATTTTTCACCTTATAATGCTGACTTACCTCCAGTTTGCCCCAATGTGGGGTAATTCTTGACAGGGGTAATTTGAAAGAATTTCTCCAAGTGTTTAGGCTCAAAGTGGCAAAACAATGGATAACCTGTAGTGTTTGGGATAGAGAAATGAACCGCCTCTCGTCATTTCGGTTGCCGTACCTTTTGCGAGATAACCCTTTACCTTATAGACATGAAATTTTTCCGCTCAACTCACTGGGGATTAGTGCATGGGACTATGTATAGGATAGGGCTTGCCTTCCATCATCCCGATGTACCTCATTCGACACATTCAAGTCATTCCACATGAGTTATCAGATTGTCTAAATAGACTTCTCCTTTGAAGTCAATGATACTGATCGACAAAATAACCATGCAGAAATTAAAGCCAATGCAAACATCTTAACTTGAAATTGGTTGAAACCATTTATTCATCAGTGAAATGTTTGCAATTCAAAGGTATAAAGCCAAACACTGGAAACTTTTGCTGCAGAATGTCAGGTTTTATCAAGGATAATACATCTTTACAGCATCAGAATTAACAAGCGTGGAAAACTCACGACCATCCACTTCTGCGAGAACCAGGGCACCTCCAGGAAGCACCTTTTTGACCACATATGGGTCGATGTAGTTTAGGGCAAATTTACCCCCAGGAGCAGGAAAGACTGGCAATACCTTCCTTAGGACTAGATCATTTACCTCGAAGTGTCTTTGACGTACTTTTTGGTTGAAAGACTTACCTACTCATGCGATAATTGGATCGAGCGTTTGGTCTCACTCTCAGGGGGATTTGCCCCTCTCTTCGCTTCTCTGGGTTCCTCCACATTACCCAAGTTGATAGTGACAGATTGGTCTGACGTGAGGACTTTGAGCCTTTCATGCCGCTTTAGATCGCGCTGAATATCTGAGGAATCGTCGAGTTTGTCGGTGTTATTGGGATCAAGCTCGACTGCACATGATTCATCATATTGGACCGTTTCCATAACCTCACGTGTCACAAGATTGCCCCTGAAACATAAAGTAAGGGACTCAGAAGGACAAACAGGGGTAAACCTTGCATTTTTATTTTTTTTTTGAAACTCTTTTCAAAAATATTGTAACACGAAGGAACATGAAGAAGCCCAGGCCTCAGAATTCTCCTTGGACTATATTTTCTTTTATCGGTTGGATATCATCACCGGGCAGGTTTGATGTACCTCAACATGTCCTCAAAACGAAAATAACTTGTAATTTCATTGATTATTTCAAAATGAATTACATTTATTGAATGGAAATTGCAACAATCAAATCCTAGAAATGAAAATGGAAAGCAGCGCCCGAAACGGGGCAAGTCCTAAAAAGCAGTAAAAATTCCCACGCAGGGGAGTGTGCGAAAAAGTAAAAGTTTTACTCTTGTGGGCCTGTGCCCATTCCCTCTAACGGTCCTTCCTCGATAGCTCCAACGAAGAAATCATCAAACAGGGCAGTGATTCCATCCATTGCATCATCAGAATCTTCTGTCATTAGAGGTGTTGGATCATCCATACCTCCCCATCCATCCGGGACAATGTCACAGGGGTTAACATAGAAGCTCGGGGGCGCCGAGTATTTCACATAAAAATCGAACTTGCCGCTCGGTTGCCCCAAAGTGTCGATCACCTCTTTCTCTTCATGCATCATTCTTGCAGGGCCCGGAAATGTGGTGCGGATATGTGGAAGCAACCTA